CAGCCTCAGCACAGGGTCCTCCGGTGACCTGTCCAGCGCCCTGCGGGATGGTGAGGGCAGCACTGGGTCTGCCACACTCGCCTGCTTCTCTCTTCCCCAGAGAGGACCCGTCCCTGTGTGTCTGGAGGAACCAGTGACACAGTGAGTGCAGGGAAGGTGGCCTCCCGCTACTACAGGAAACAGAAATATCACTTGAGGACTCAGAAAGGTTAACATTTAAGATGACAAATGATGGCACCATGCAAGCAGTCAACAAAAGCCAGTTGGTGGCACTTCCCTAATATCAGATGATGAGTCTCAACGCAAAGTGCTGTAGCACAGGTGAAGAAAGGGGACTTCATAAAGATCAAAGCTTTAACCATCAGAATAAGATAAAAGTTCTAAATATGCACGCATCTACCGCGGAGTCTTAACACACACGACACACCAGCATCCGCAGAGCTATGCCCCTACACTGGGAACCTGGATGGTGGAGACGTGCTGTCTCCTGCCGGCCGTGGCTCCATGAGGACAGGAGCCGGGTCTGGTGCTGGCCTCGATGTGCAGAGGGGACGGCCACACGTGGCGCTGAGTGGGGGGAGGCTGCTGCCCCCCGCCCGGCAGTCCCTGAGCCCACCCCTGCCCTCCATAGACACCCGCAGCTGGAGACTCAGGGCCCGGACAGACGGGACCCACTGTCACCTTCCAGAAAACGTCCCTCAAGGGAAGGGCGTTGACAGGGAGGCAGAGATGTGGTCGGGGTCTGCGTGGGTGGGAACCTGCGCGACTCTCCCCGTCTGCCCACAGGGTCCCCAGGAGTGGACGTGGGTGACGACAGCCGACTGCGAGGCCTGCCCTGGCCCTGACGGTGTCATGCTGTGAAGTTCCTCTCTGAGGAGGGCCACGGCTCTGACCTCGCCCCCGGCTTCCTGTGGGGCCTCCTCTAAGTGCTGTAGCTCTCAGTTCCCGAGAGAAGAACCCCGAGGAGCGACTGTCCCCGGGGGCCCTGGCACCTGTGCCCGCCATGCTGCTGCTGCTGGCCCTGCTCTGGGGGATGGCGGGGGTGGAGGGACAGGGAGGGTATCCAGAAGGTTACAGGCTGCAAGTGCAGAGTGTGGTGACGGTGCAGGAGGGCCTGTGTGTCCTTGTGCCCTGCTCCTTCTCCTACCTCGGGGACAGCCGGACTGACTCTGACCCTGTTCACGGCTACTGGTACCCGGAAGAGGCCGATCCACACCGTGGCACTCCAGTGGCCACAAACGACCCAGCTAGGAAAGTGCAGGAGGAGACCCAGGGCCGATTCCTCCTCCTCGGGGATCCCAGGAGGAGCAACTGCTCCCTGAGCATCAGAGACGCCACAAGGAGGGACCAGAAGTCATACTTTTTTCGAGTAGAAGCAAGAAGAAATGTGAAATTCAGTTACACGAATGACAAGCTTTTTGTGCAAGTGGCAGGTAAGGTTGGGTTTCCAAGATAGGCCCAGAGGGGGAGGTGGTTGGGCCGCAGGGCGGGGCTGGGCTGGGACCCTGTCCAGGGAGGGGCTGGGGTGAAGCGTGTGGGGCTCAGGGGAGGAGCTAGACCAGAGCCTGAGTCCTCTCAGGGCTGCACCTCGACCCTCCCTCCTGACCCTGCGTGTCCCCCTCTCCTCCCCAGCCCTGACCCACACGCCCGACATCCTCCTCCCGGGGACCCTGGAGTGCGGCCGCCCCAGCACCCTGACCTGCTCTGTGCCCTGGGCCTGTGAGCAGGGGACGCCCCCCAGGATCTCCTGGGAGGGGGCTTCCGTGGCTCCCCAGGGCCCCATCACTGGCCGCTCCTCGGTGCTCACCCTCGTCCCTCAGCCCCAGGACCACGGCACCAGCCTCACCTGCCAGGTGACCTTGCCTGGGGCCGGTGTGACCACGACGAGGACTGTCCATCTCAACGTGTCCTGTGAGAGCTGGGCTGGGAATCCTGGGGTCCTGCTGGGGTCCCCAGGGCAGCGGGATGGGGTCAGGGCTGCACACGGGGTGCTGGGCTGTGGGGTCCAGGGGGGAGGGACAGGAGGATGCTGGTGCCACCCTCCCCCCTGACGTGGCTCCTGGGGACAGAGACAGCGTCCACCCAGCCCTCAGCAGTGACTTGGGGCTGCCGTGTCTCTCTGCCCCAGACTCTCCTCAGAACCTGACGGTGACTGTCCTCCGAGGAGACGGCTCAGGTAGGACGGGCCCTCCCTGGGCTGCGGGAGCTGGGTCTCTTCCGTCAGGGCAGGTATGTCCTTCTCACCAGACTCACCTGGTCACCTGAGCCCCCCTTGCTGGTGACCCAGGGCCCCTCGCTCCCCTAAGACACCTGCACACCCCTCGGCCCACAACAAGGCAGGGCGACACTCACAGCAGAACTGGCCCCCAGTAGTTCATGTACCTCTGGGTGGGTGATACGGTCTCATGGTTGACAATTCCAAGTGCACAGCAGGGTGAGTCCTCAGAGGCCCGTCCCCTCCCCAGAACCCACCAGGGTCTCCACAGACTGCTCCGAGCCTTGGTCTGTTCACCTGCAGGACCTTGGAGGTGGTTTGACGTCAGTTGTGCAGACTGTCCCCGTGCTCCTCTGGGGCTGTGTGGTGTCCCCCTGCATGGGTGGACTCTGGCTTTGGACACACTTTATTTTAGTGAAACATCAAGGCACTAATTTTATTCTATCAACAAAATTGCTGCCACGAATAATCTCGTGTCTCCTTTCACAAATGGCTTTGTGCCTCTGAGGGGTGACTGTGTGAATGCAAAACAGCTGGGTCTCATATGGAGACACACCCCGGGCTCTTCCCCGTCCGGGGTACAGGAGTTTAGATTTCCAGCAGGGAGGAGTGGTTGTGCGAGTGTCCCCCAGCCTCACCACCCAGTGTGCTGGGACCTTTTGGTCTCTGCCAATAGCAGGTGACAGGTGGACTCTCCATGGAGCTTTAAGGAGCATTTCCCTTATTATGAATAACGCCGTGCATCCCTTTCCATCACGAAGAGACATTTGTATTTCCTTTATTCTGGGAACTGCCTGTTCACAGTCTTTGCTCAGCTTTCCAGAGAGGCTTGACCTTAATTATTTATTCTTGGAAGCTCTTTTCAGTTTGAGAAGTCAGTATTTGTGCCTGAGATGCTTTGTAAATACATTTCTCAATGTGCCAGGTGGCTTTGTCCTTGGAGGTCTATGGTTTTTACACTGTCCAGGGACCTGTTTATTTTGTAGCTGCATCTACCAATGCCTTTGGTGGGTTATGATTCCCCACTCTGAGGTTATGAAAACAAATCTCCCTGCTTTCCTCCTGTGTCCTGGATTCCTCCCCTGCTCCACCCTACCCCACCCCCATCCCTGAACTGGCTCAGGCCCTGGTCATCTTTGCACTGTCTGTTCCTGCTGCCTGGAACTCCCTTCCACCCCTCATCCTCTAGCCGCCTGCTGGTCCTTCACACCCCCCTCCAGGTGCCAAGTAGGTGTGCCTCCCCCAGGAAGCCCTCCTGGCCCACAGCATTTGGCTCTTCTCATTTACATTGCCCAGGGCTGGTGCACCCTGCGTCCCCTCCACCATGTGTCATGTGACCTCGGGGGCAGCAGTTTCTAAGCCCCTGCTCCCCCAGACTCTGAATTTCTGGAGTGAGCCCCACGGAGAGGCACAGCGATAACTCAGTGAAGCGCTGTCACGGGAAGGGCTGGAGAGAGATCAGGACTCTTCGGGTGAACCTGGATTCTGAGCCGTCAGCGAGAGCATTGAAGAGGGCCTGGAACGTGGGCCTGAGCTGACGTCATATCTGGTGTCCTGTGAGCCCGAGCCCCTTCCTCTGTGACTTCTGGGGCCACAGTCCAGCCCAACAGGACCCACCGGCGCAGAGGAGAATCGACATCGCCTGGCACAGAGAAACTGGGGCCAGAGCCAGGCTCAGGCTCGTGCTCCATCTCTGTCCGGATGCATGTCACAGAGTCTGCTTCTCTCAGTCTCTGTCTCTGTGTCTGAATCTGTCCTTCTACCAGATCTCTTTCTGCA